TTTATCTTTCATTCTAGCCAGATAAGTAATATTTATTCTTTATACGATAAATAACCTTTCTTTTGCAATTCACTTTTTCAATGAGTGTATTTTCATTGCAGAGAGGCAAAGTACAATTTAAAATATCATGGTATTAATAGAAAATGCCGAGAAAATTAACTTTAGAAGACGCAATAAAGATCGCGAAAGAGCGTAATGGTTTTTGTTTATCTACTCAATATATTAATTGTGTAACTCCTTTATTATGGAGATGTAGTAAAGGACATGAATGGCATGCTCTTCTTAATAATGTTAAGAATCAGAGAACATGGTGTCGCAAATGTTTAGCTTTTACTATTGAGGATGCTAGAAAATATGCTGAAACACGTGGTGGTTATTGCCTCTCTACTAAATATATAAATTATAAAATTCCTTTATTTTGGGAATGTTCTAATGGGCATAGGTGGGAAGCTCCTTTTCAAAGGATTAAAAATCAAAAAACGTGGTGCAATAAATGTAGATCTCTTACTCTTGAAGATGCTAAAGAAATCGGAAAACAACGAGGTATGAAATGTCTTTCTGAAGCATATGTAAATGTTAATGCTTCTTTGCAATGGAAATGCGTTAAAGGGCATGAGTTTTCCAGAAGTATTACTAATATGAAAAGAAAAAATTCTGGATGTCCATACTGTCAAAAAAGAGTACCGCAGAATATTGAAATTGCTAAGAGAATTGCATTTGCTCGAAATGGTGAGTGTCTTTCAACAAAATATATTAACAATGCTAGCAATCTATTATGGCGCTGTTCAAAAGGGCATGAATGGTATGCATGTTTAAAATCTATTAAAAATCATAATTCTTGGTGTCAACTATGTTCAAAATTTAAGCGAGAAAAACTATGTTATAATATTGTTTGGACCACCGTCAGCAAATCATTGGCCTGATTTCTTAAAAACACCAGAGTATCCAACAGGACTACAACTTGATATTCCATATTATCAACATGGATTTGCTATAGAAGTACAAGGAGAACAACATGAAAAATTTAATAAATTCTTTTATAGAGGAGACCCCAATAATTTAGTTAAACAGCAGGAACGGGATCAACTTAAGGAAGAACTCTGCGAAGAAAATTGGATAACACTAAGATATGTTTGGTATTATGAAGACCCATTTGAGAAAATTCCAGATATCCTTCGAGAACTGGGTCTTATTCCTTAACTGTAATTATTCAATATCTGTGTTTGGTAGATATCCTTTTTTAATTAATGCGGTACGAATGTAGGGAAAAAGATCACATGTATATGGTATTGAAATAAGATCTACACCTTGCGCTTTGCATATTAATATATCCCGCTTTTTTTGATCACGCTTCCTTTGCTCATCTAAGTCTATCTTGCCTTGCTTATGGAACAATGGATTCTCGGAAAAATGCTGGACTCCATTATACTCCCACGCCAATTTTAACTCTTCATTATACCCGTCTAATTGCATCCCATTCAAAAATGACGGTTTACAAGATGGAAATTTCTTACC